TAATTTTTATTGTTAAATAAAAAAGGTTAAAACTCCATTTTGGTTCTTGAATTATTATACGGACTCTCGATTTGGTCCCTGAACTATTGTATGGACTCTCGATTTGATCTTTGAACTATTGTACAGACTCTTGATTTAATCCCTGAACTAAAAAAATCCTTGATTTGGTCCCCACTATTTATCATTTTGACCCCGATTTGGTCCTTCCATTAAAATTCTACCTACGCGTCCAGTTAGTTTACTGTAACATGATGACATGGTAATATATTAATACACGTGGAAGACAACTTGATAAAAAATAGTGACATAGAAAACAATATTAATATGACAATTTTTTTTTTTAATTCCTTCTCTTTTCTTTTTCCTTCTTTTTTCCCTTTCTCTTTCTCTTGGGGTCCTGGGGTTCCTTGGAACCAGGCGTGGGTTCGACGGAACCCAAGCTTGAGTTCCTTGGAACCCGCCACTAGGTTCTGGCCAACCCATGTCTGAGTTCCGTCGAACCCACGCTTGAGTTCCCTCGAACCTAGGGGTAAAAAATATATATATATATATATTGTGGGTTTTGTTGTTTGATGATGATGAAGAAAGCAAGGCAAGGAAAAGGAAGGAAAAAAAAAAAGGCGCATGTTGGGTTCGATTAAACCCAAGTGCTGGGTTTGATTAAACCCAAGTGTTGGGTTTGTTTGCTGGAGGAAGAAGATGATGACAAATTCATAATTTTGGTGGGTCCCATTTTTGTTGGGTTGGGCAAGAACATGACATGTCATGTTGCCATGTCATTATTTATTCATTTATACAACTGATGTGTCTCAAATGTTTGACATGTCATTAAATTGTCGTGAGGTAATGGTGAGTTTTTAACAGAAGTACTAAATCGGGGTCAAAATGGTAAACAGTATGAACCAAATTAAGGACTTTTTTAGTTAATTTTTCTTCATATGTAACAAAAACAAAATATAATCAATATAAAAAAAATTATCAATTATCAATTATATAAAAATATATATATATATATATATATATATATATTATGGGTTTGGTTGTTTGATAATGATGAAAAAAGTAAGGCAAGGAAGAGGAAGGAAAAAAGAGGCCGCCTACTAGGTTCAATTCAACCCAAGTGCTGGGTTTGTTTGCTGGAGGAAGAAAATGATAGCAGATTCATAATTTTGGTGGGTCCCACTTTTGTTGGCTTAGGCAAGAACATGACATGTCACGTTGACATGTCATTATTTATTCATTTATATAACTGACATGTCTTAAATGTTTGACATGTTATTAAATTGTCATGAGGTAGTGGTGAGTTTTTAACAAAAGAACTAAATTAGAGTTAAAATGGTAAACAGTAAGGATCAAATCAAGAATTTTTTTAGTTTAAAAACCAAATTAAGGGTCCATATAATAATTTAGGGACCAAAATAAAGTTTTAACCAATAAAAAATAATATTAAACTTTTACGTACAAAATCACTTCGATGTGTCTATTGATCTCAGGATTGTGTTTACGCGTCATGGAATGATCAAAAGTCAATTCCACGTGTGAAATCAACTCTACAGCGCGTAGAAAATTAAATAACCAAGTCATTGCAATTGAGACAGCTTTTATTTGAATGGGTTTGGGTGCGCAATTAGGCCGGACCACATAAGGAAAATTGAAAATTAGGTATCTTATTTAAAGATTGAATAAAATTTCCAAAAAAATAAAAAAGGGAAATATGGTGGGCCAACGGACTCTGTCCGCGTACTAACTCTGGCGGCCGAGAGGAAAAGATAGATCCTGTCACTTTCTTTTTTCTTTTAAATAGAAATCAGCAATGGGGAGATGTTACGTTAAAATATACATTTAATTATTTATTTTAATAAATTTAAAAATTTTAACTTATTATTTTATATTATGACATTTTTATTTTAATCTCTAAATTAATAAAATCTGTTAATTTTAATTAAAAATAAAATTTTTATAGTATCAATTCTCAAAAATTAAAAATATAATAATTTAATTTTAAAAAATTTAAAATTAATAAAATTTAAAATAATTTATAGATAACTTTACTAAGAAAACAATATTAAATATCTACAATAAAATCTAGTAATTAACTCAATTTAAAAAAAATCTAATTGAGATTAACAAATTTATTGGTTGTATTCTTCTAATTTGTTGGATTTTTTAATTTAATTTAGCTAATAAATTTTCTTTAATTTCAATCAAAATTCTTTTTGCAAAGAGTTAATCGCTGGATTTATTATAGATATTTAATATTGTTCTAATGTATATGAAAAGTCATTTATTAATTTTTTTTAGTTTACTAATTTATTTAATTTTTAAACTTATGAAACTAAATTATTGTATTTTTAATATTTAAAAACTAATCTTGTAAATATTTTATTTTTATTTTAACAAAGAGTTAACATGTTATGTTAATTTAGAGGTTAAAATTTTCAAACTTTTAAATTTAAAAATTAAAAGTTTCATAATATTAAATCAAGAGTTGAAATTTTAAATTTAATAAGATAAAGAGTCAAAACCGATATTTTAGCGGAGATATTAAGGATCAATCGAGTCATTTTCAGCCAAGAAAAAAATCAAGCCATGACACTAGTATTACAAATAAGCACATAAAATTTCAAAACTTTATTAATTAAGGATATGATTTTTTCCTTAATAATTAAGACTATCATATTTCATTAAGTTTTTATTAAAAATATAACTTTTGTAATTTTTCTAAAAAAA